AACCCATATAGGGGTCCCCAAAAGATTTTGACATAAGTCCCTTGTCTGGTTTTATGGATTTATAACGGTGACCCATGTACCTGCGTGCCCCAATTATCAACTTAGCGAAGTTACCACCATGGGTCATAACAAACACATCAGACTTCAAGCAGACCAGGAAGTCGAGGGCTGCCAAGCTTGTTACATGCTTCCTGAAACCAGCTAACTCCTCCTTGCTTGCTAATTCCTCCTTTGTAACCTGTTATTAAAGCTTGTCATGAAACATCAACTTCAACAAAGATAAGACATTACAAACACTCTCCAGTCAGTCAAGTCCACATTTATCATCGCCGCCAATAAACAATTTAGCTTACTACATGTCTTCAAGAGTGCCTTATAATTCCCATTTCTTAAAAAATGACACATAAAACCATGTTCAAAAGAACTTTTTCAAATATGTGCATATATAAGCATGCATACATGTATAATTGTACGTTTATGATAAGTAGCCAATCTTCTCCTTTTATTGTTATTTTGAGATGTGTAGAGTGATTAGAAAATATATTTTTTTTTTAATAATATTATTGGCAGTATGCCATTCTGGACGAATTTTCTAGTTTCTACAATTGTTTTTCAACAGAATGGCATTACTCTTATACATGATGGCACTAAGAGGACAACAGAAGAGCAGCAAATTTCCTCCAGAAGAAAATGTTACAAAGATGAGATCACATAAGAAAATATCAGTACCCAGCCATTCAAATTAACTTTCTAACAGAAAAGAAGTGTGGGAAAGACTTTTGACAATAACATAACGATTAGCATTTAAAATGAAGAAGCTCTAGTCATGCCATTCTATTCCATGATTTGTAACCAGAAAATTGCATAAGAAACAGATTTTAAGGTCTTACCAGATTCGGGAACATGTTCCTCAGTGGTGCCATCCGGTTTTGGCCACCATAAACTTGACCAGACGCAACATAAATTTGAGTTTCTTTGGGATATCCCATTGCACGAAGAATCACAGCCACTTCCCCAGGCTCAAGAGGACATCGTCCTTCCTTGCGCTTCTGCAGGGCCAATTGCCATAAATGGGAACCATTCTGCAAACCATATCACCACAAAGGTACCACATATTATAAAATTTATTTTAGGCTCTAATTAAATCCAAAAATACCGACTGATCATATTATTCTAAGTCACCTTATAGCGTCGAGGCCATTCTTTTTTTCTATATTCAGCCATTTTAGCCTTCTCTTCCCTTGTCCCCACAAAATCACAGAATGATAAGCCCACCATCCCTTTCTCAAACCTAAGATGCAGAGCCCTGTGTAAGAGAACATTGTTAGTACTGTTGAAATCAAGGGTAATAACTCAGAACATGATTCAGCAAAATTTCAGATACCAAAATCACATACATATAAGGATTTGAACTGCCAGTGCGATTTCGCATCCTTGATACTAAAGAATCAGCCATCTGCTCTATCTCCGGAAGAAATTTCAGAGCATGATAATTTACTCTGCACCTAAGCCTGTTGATTTCTGGGGGAACATTATCATACCTGGAAAACCAAAACGTATACAATAACAATTCAATCCTAATTTTATTCAAATGAAAAAAATATATATATATATTAGTCAAGTAGTAAGTGAATGTAAAGTACCCATAACTTACCCAAGCCGATCAACAAAGGGTTTTAGGGCCATTATCTTCTTCTCCTTGATTCGAGGTAGTACATTATCAATGTAAAATTGGGCAGGAGCATACTTGGGAATGTTTTTTACAGTCCGTCTAGAGAACACATAAAAAGAAAAGATGAAATCAACACAATTGCAACCACTCAAACTTCAGAACAAGATAAGGTACAATATAAATTTATTGGTTCTATATTTCAATAATACTTCACATCCAAAAAGATTTCATACCAATATCTACTAAAGTAGAAACTGTGCCCATATATCTGAAAAGTCCTTGTGAAAATTTAAGATAAGTCAAACATAGTTTAGATAGGAACAACTGTTTGGAATAGGCATGACAAACTCTAGATTCCTATTATTTATTTTATCCACCCATTTACTAGCCAATTTGCTTCCCATTAATCCTTATTTTATCATAGCTATGTGATCACTGTTTCTCAAAGCACTTCACAATCAAAATAAAAAACCAGGCAGATTAACCTAGCCCTTCACCTAAATCAGCCCATGGCTATAACAAACAAGTAAACCTCATTCCTGCACCCTTTTCTATATTTACTGGTAAGGAATGAAATAATCAAAGAAGCAATGCATCTTGGATTGTCACTAAAAGGCTTGGTTCAACCGAGAATATTGACGTGTTTCTGAAAGTCTCTGAATAGAATGGTCACTGCTCCTCAAGGCTTTAGTTCTCATGGTGGTTTTCTAGTCCACTTTTGTAACTTCATCTTATTTTCACTATATATATATATATATATATATATATAGGACTTCGTTTTTAATTAAACTAAATGAATTAATAGAGGAAGACATCAAACCTTATGCTTGAGAATAATTCTGATTTGTCAGTAAACCAATCAGGGATATCACGAACAATTCGCACATCATCCTTTAAGTAATCAATGAAATGATCAACATCAAAGATGTCTTCAAATTTCCTGCAAAATATTTAAATATTATTTAAAAGAAAACGCAGTCATACAAACATTTGAAACGAGATTATATAAAGCAATCCCATATCAACTATCAACGTTAACCCTATGAACCAAGACACAAAAGAATACAAGAATTTTTCTTAAACGAGTTTCTATTTGCATTATTCCTAGTATAAATGTGAATGAGAACCTACATATATGTCCAACTGCTTCAATAATTTAATTATATTGGCCATGTTAATATGCTTCTACACCAGTTTAAAATGAAATTTTGTAAGAGATTACAGTCAAGAGATCTCACGTTTGGTCTTTCCAAATCTGGTCCTGCTTCAAAACAGGCAAGATAAGGGTGGCATTCATTATTTTGGCAACAGCAACTGCATTGCATATCTACATGCAAACACATGAACCAAAAGTTATTCCAAAGTTTAAACCTGGGTATTATATTTGGTAAATCAGCACAATTTTCAACAAAAAATTTGAAACAGATATATCAAAAACTGATTAGACATGCATAATAAAGACGAAATATGAATGATTGCTGATAAGATACATAAACAAATGGAAGCAAAAGAAAAAAGAAGACTTTCTCAAGCAAAGCAATAACTGGACAGAATAGAAACCATACAGCAATGCGTTGCTGATTAAGACCACCCTCAGCATGGATGAATATATAACCATTTGTTTCATTCTCTGGAGGGACATCTGCATGGAGTTGAGAAATGTTACTATCTAGAATACAATAAAATCAGCAGCAGAAGGCAAACTAGAATTTGAAAACAGAACATATGATAACCACATGGGAAAAAAAAAAACTGAAAACATTAAGATTGCATGATGACCCAAATAAGGCATAGTCATGCACATTAATGCAAGCCAAATTCATAGTTTCGAGTATTAAGGGTAACAGAAGCGACAAAATCAAACAATGATTTTTTCCAAAATGATTATTCATCAGGCAAATATATATCCCTAAACGATAAAAGGATCCATGAAGCCCAAAAGGAAAGGACTTATAATGGATGGTCGATTCTACAACAAAACTCCTGTTTCTACAACCATGATCTACTCAAAACACATATACATATTATAAGTTGAACAAATGGATTAAAAAAGTACAAATTATGTATAGCTTTTCTTGAATGAATCATGTCTAAATTTATTTTGAATTCTATAGATAGTATACAACTTGATGAAACCATCCCATGTTCGGTGAAACTACCCTTACTACAGCTAAAACCAGGGAAGATAGCACTGACGTGCAATTCAACAAAAAGGACAAATATACCTGATATTCCACCATCACGACGCTCGGCACAAGGCTTCCAAGAGGTAGTGGCAGATTAAGGGTTTTCCCAAAGTGAAGGATCTTCCTTGACCTTTTAAAAAAAAAAAAAAACAAAACAAAATTAAAAATGTCATTAATCACGAAAAAACACACAAGGTAAGAAAACAGAGAAACCAAAAAAAAAAGATGTGTCAAGCACTTACCCGCGGGCAGTGCAGAATGATGCCATCTTTCTTACACAAGTAAGGAGCATTCTGCAATACATTTTAAGAGCTATTAAAAAATATAAATCCCAGTCAGGCAAAACAACCAACCAAAACAAGATTCATAACCACTCCCCATTTGCATGCAATCTAAGAAGGGCAGATCTCAAGCCATTTTACTCCGAAAATGAAATTCTTTTCACAAAATTAACTTCAGCATCTATAATGATTAAGTACCTGAATTACATTCACAGCATTTCAATTCTACACTATTACCAATAACTTCGATAACATGAATTCCTTTTAACACTCAATTTTCAATGAAAATGCAACAATAATTACTTAAAATAATCAACACTAAGAAAAAGAATAATAAAAGCATGTAACTTACCAATCGATTGACGATCGAGAAAACTGAGATCCCTGCAGCGAGAATAATAAAAAGCACCAAAAACAATGAGATCTTGGAGCTGTGTTGTGAAACCCTAGGATCGTCACTGAAGAAAGGAAAGTTAAACCAATTTGGACGGTCACGATCTCTGAATGAATGCCGAACGCGACCTTCATCATCGTTGTCAGCGCGATGTTCGTGAATAAGAGGCGAGGCGGTGTCGTCGCGCTTCATTGGAGAGGAACCGGTTCGGCTCCCCAACGAGCTGGAATGTCTCAGCTCGGCCATGGCTCGCTTCGGACTGAAAGCCAGCTTAGCTTATTTTAACCTCACGTTCCGCTTCACTTTTGGATTCTGGATTTGGTTTAATGGCATTGGGGAAGGAGGTTCCCCACGGTCACACACTTGCAGTGCAAGCGAGTTCAGATCACACAAAATCTAAGAAATGTTGAGGGTAATAAAGTAATTTCACTGGGGAAAGTAAATTAATACTCGAAAACGAAACCGTTTCACTACCCTTTTCCAAATAAAACGCTGACAACCCTAAGGTTCAAACCAGAAGCTTTAGAGATGAACACCATAGCAAGGCAAGTGAGTAGTCTGTTGACGCGCCCGAGTCAGAGTATAAACTCAGTGCATTGTCAGCATCATCAGGTCCAACAATGGAGGGGTATTCGAGTGAAGGTGCGGAACGGGAACCTGGAGCAAGCCTTGATGTGGATGCAGCGGAAGATGCAATCTAGCGGGATCGAACGGCTGTTAAAGCGCCAAAAGACTCGCCACATCAAGAACTCGGAGAAGCGAGTGTTGGCACGCAAGATTCTCGAGCGTAAGATTCGGTCTCAGGACCTGGCGCGCAAGCTCAAAGCCATCCTGGTCAAGAAAGTCAGGTATTATTAGATTCTAATGCTTGATTTTATCTTTATAATGAATTCTTCGCACATAGTTCTTCTTGGAAGCCCATTTGCTTCCAGGATTTTATCTGTGCGTATAGCAACAAGTTTATCCTTTCTGCTCGAGCCGCCTTCTACTTTTCTTAGGAGATGTGCTCCAAATTTTATGTTATTGGATAACAATTTAATTTATTGCCGACCCATTTATGATTTCTTTGTTACATTATGTATAGAGTCAGTTTAGAGGATTATTGAAAAAGAGTTTTTGGACGCTGTTGATTGAAATATTTTTGTAGTATTTTTATGAGTGTCTCTATAAGAACAATTGGCACTTGCAGATTTTTTTTTTTTTTTTTTTCAAAAAAGTTTATGGTAGGCTAGGCAAGTTATATCCTGTAAAAGCCATTGGTGTTTGTGGTATATATTTACACAAAAAGGATTTTAGTTACTCAAAAATCCACTGCATAGCCCTGGACGTTGGTGGTGTTTGAATTGGGTTGCCTAGATCTTTGATTGTAACTTGCCTAATACATCAGTGAGAGCAAAGCCACTTGATGTTTACAAAGTTTGTTTACAAACAAGGTAAAAATCATGTTTAATTTGCTATTATAGCTAGTACTTTACATTTAGCCTGTCTTTGGTCTTCCAATTACTCTGTTTTGGAAAAGTGTTTCTTCTTTTCTTTTGCTTTTCATGAGAAACAAATTTCTTTATTTCTATGTTTTCCTTGTATCATTTGATAACTTGGTATTTTTCCTGCTCATATTGACTGATATCTTCATCTGAACATTGCAGGGGTCTATGAGGGGAATGTTTGAGTTAATTCATTGATGAACAAGAGGGTGTTGTATAAGGTGCTATTAGTTGCAGGTGTTTTCCATCTCTTCTTCCATTCCAGGTTTTGCAGATCCATTGGCTTGGCAACTTGCATTGCCTCTGTAATCATCATACAGACATACTCAGTTGAGTTAGCTTCTTTTGTTTTTTTTATGAATTAATTTCTTTTGAAACTTGATGCTTGAATGCATTGGATGAGAAACATGAAAGTAGTCTCCCCATGATAACCTCAAGAACATTTCCAAGTTTTTGGTATTGTTGGCTGCAATTGAGATGTGATAGATTGATCCCCTAAATAACAATATTCCCATTTGTGTGGGATCTGACAAGTTATCTAATGAATTAAATCTTGTAGTACTTTATATATCCTTGGCAATTTCGGCCGTGGAGATGCTCAATTTTAGCTTTAATAAAGATTGTTGATGACTTATACAAGGCCATTGTATTTGGCATAGAGTAAAGAGTTTGTTGTGGGGACATGATTTTACTGTATTTTAGTTGAGTTCTTGTGTAGATTGCTTTATGTGTTGCTTATTGCTCAGTGCACTATTTTTGACAAAATCATTGTCATTTTAAAAAGTTTCGAGTCTTGAATAGATCATGATACCTAACCAAAAAAAATTGTTCCATAGTTGATATTTCTGTTATATTGTAAACAAATAAACTAGTTTTTGGACGAACTTGAAATGTGCAATGATTTTGGACCTATTATGCTGCATAAAATTATTATCAGTGGTAAACAGTTCCAAATTCTGGGCAGTTTATTTTAGTTGAGCCAAGCACAGCAGCATCTTATAATCGTCTTATTACCGAATAAGTATCACTTGGCTCCGACGATTTAGTGAACAGTGATGGATTGCGTCCAGATTCATTTCTGGAATCAATGTGAGTGGCAAAATTTTCAGTTTGCCAATTGGGCAGTTTCTGAAATTCGAGTTAAAGATTGTAAGGCTCCGGTGCTCTACAGACGCTCCTTGTTCGAACAATATGATGTCCTCGGGAGAAATACCGATTCGAGAATTTTTAGGAGTTCATAAAGAGATTGTAGTTTTACACACTTGCTTGGTTCGTTCTGCTGTCAAACTGAATACTCAATTTTCACATTCATGCTGTGCTGCCGATCAACTTAATTATACCGTCACCAGCATATTTCATCGTTTGGGCAACTGATAATCAAATTATAAAGTAAAAAACTTGAACCAATTTCTTGTTACTAAAACATTAAAGAAAGGTAGAAACTTGATTGAGTCTACTACATTTTCCGAATTGCATAGAAGAATAATATTATATTTTTCTACCTTCATTTCATTTAATAATGATTAAAATTAACTTAACCGTAACCAATTAATAAACATTGAGCAACTGGGTATGAAAACTTTTACCAATAATAGATTTCATTCTACATATTGAGGGTGTGTTTTGGGATTCTATAACTATATTGATAAAGTACTAATTGGGAGAGAAAGAAAACAAATCAATGTTTATTTTAGAATTAGTGGATGTTCATTTAGATATTAAAATACTCTTAAATTTTTATAATATAACAAATATAAATCTAACTAATAATTTTATAGTAATGGAGTTCCCAATCCCATGTTCCTGTTTGACTTGTGGAGATTATGTAAGAAATATTCTCCGACTATTATTTTAAAAAATAACATTTCAAGTTATTTAAAATATATTGTATTACTTTCAATTTCAATCAAATGAAATCTTTCCTATTATTGGAAAGTATTTTGACAAAATACCACAGGCAGAAGCCCACACGAGTAAATGCCAATGGGCAAAATTGTTTATTTAGTTTTTTGTCGTTATTTATAAAATCTCAAATTCAAATTATTAATTAAAGTAAAATTATATTAAAATGATTAATAAAAGGGTGTTATAAGGAATACAGTGAAGTGAAGACAGAAAGAGGGTTTTAGAAGGGGGTAATGGTGATGGAGAAAGTGAGGTTACGCCTAGTATTCTCAGATCCTCAGATTCTGAGAAAATCACAGAAGAAGCAAGGGCTGAGGAAATGCTGGATTCTCATTAAACCTAAACTTTACAAAACCATCTCTCATCTCTCCGATTATCTCCTTCGCATTTTCCACCTCCAACATTCTTCTCCTCATGGCCTCATCCTCTCTGTAACCTCCCCTCACTTTCCCCATTTCTTTTTTCAATTTCAATTTCAATTTCTACTTTCTTATGCTTTTATTTTTATTTTCTGTTGCAGATGGATGACTTTGTTTTGCCACCTTTTGAGTCTACTTCTATTCTGAAGGATGAAGATATCATCTGGTCTGTTTCTGCGTTGCATTTTCTTTTAATTTTTCTTTTGTGGAAGGGAAAAAAATACTCTTATTGATTTATTCTTCTGTAACAGTGTGAGAAGGAAAGTGGGTAAACCCACTGAAACCATTGAGCTGTCCAATGGGGTGAATGCGTTGGAGCAACCCGCGCGTCGGGGTGTGAAACTTCTCGCAATTGAGGAATTTCAAAAGGAAACTGGGGGCTATCAAAGTCAATCAGAAGAGGATGAACATGACAAGTTTTTGGATGTAATTGAGTTGGAAGATACACCTGATGTCGACAGAGCTTGCAAAAAGAGAAAGGCATCAAAGAAACTTCAGGGTTCCAAGTATATTTCAATCCTTTTGTTGTGTATTTGATATTTGGGCTCGCAGGCTCACCTTTGGATGGATAATTTGGTTTTTCATTTGTAGAAAATTTATTTCCTTAGACTACTTGCATGCAGTTTGGTAGGAGTCTTCTGATTGCTGCTTGGCCTGTAAATCACATATCTTGTTAATGCATTTTAGGAGGAAGAAGAGTAAACTTGCTGCTGCTGAAGAACGTGCAGTTGCTCTTGAGGATCTTGATAATGATGTTCTCCGCGAGAGTCTTGTCAACAAAGACAATATGCCGGGAGAACTGGAGAAGTTGAGGACCCCTGAAATTGATGAAATAAATGAATGTATGCTCAATGCAAAGAGGTAGTTCTGTAGCCTTGATATGCATGAATTTGCTTCCTTATTAACTTTTATTTTATTTTTTTTATGTTTCTAGATTCCTTTGGTAGATTGACTGCACTTGGATATGCTATCTCATCCTTGGGTGCTTGCCTCTATAATTGAGCACTTTTCCTATGTATTCAGTTCCTTGGTTTTTAGCTTTACCATAGCCTAATTTTCACCCACTTCACATCCTCGCAAACAGGCAAATGGACTGTTTTGGTTTGCACATTCGCATACATGGAGGCTCGGATTTCTGAGCCTTTTTGATACCCTAATATTTGTGCTTATTTACAGTTAGCATACCCATCCATTCACTTATTCACATAATAGGGGAATTGGTGCTGTTTTTTGGATGTATCTAATTGCTCTCAATATCTTCACTTCTTTTTTTGTCTCTCAAACTTACAATACACTTACCTTTATTTCCTTTGTTTTGTTTTTCCAGGTTTGGCGAACTTCAAGAAAATGGTAAAGGGAGTGCTGATGTATACTCAACACCTGATGGAACTAAAAAGGTTTTGTCTAACGTTGCATTTTCACAGGAGCTATAGTTTTTAGTTTGGAGTCTTTTAACTATGGGGTGGATTACTTTTGCATGTGGATATGATTGTCCTGATTTTGAGCTTTAGCAATCTAAGCATATAAACAGCTTCTTTGGCAGCATCTACATTATTGTCACAAACTTGTATTTACTTCAATGATTTTCATGTTTGATATCTGCATCTTCAACTAATATATGAAGCTCCAATTTTCATGGGCTATTGGAGTCTTTTTGTTCCACACATTTTGCCTGGAATGTGGCTTTGATGAGTTGAGTACTCATTTTGTTGGCTCAAACCCGTGTGTTGGGTCTAAATTGTATTGACTTCAACACAAAACTCTTATGCTTATATAGTTTCAACATTGCTTTTTCCAAAACTAAATGTCGTGGTTGAATTGCTATTGGACTTCCATTTTGTGTGAAATTGGAAGTTGCTTGTTGATTCTTGTGCAAAGGCCTGAAATCATTCCCATAGTTCTGTTCATATATGTGTGTTATTTTTTTGTTACATATGGTGAGAGGACCTAATGATATATGCTTGCCCAAAATTTCACTCTTTCTTGAGCAATGAGAACTCGTTTGGCATGATATGAGTTTTCATTGTGATAAGCCTCCTATAACCAAAGTGTACAAAATGAAGAAAAAGGGCAGCCTGGGAAATACACTGGACAGGGGCAGCAAAGGAAATGCAGTTTTAAATCAGTTAGGAAGAATCTCCACGTAAGGGAAGTGCGGAAAGTGTGAATTCAACATTATTTAAGAGAGAACATTTTGTGAGCTAAGGAGGATGAAATCTGGAATCAGGGGAGGCTGCTAGACCCTCGAAGTGCTAGCCAACTTTTCTTTTTATCTGTAATTTATTTTGCTGTTGCAGCGTTTATCAATTCCAAATCCATATATGAATATACCGGTTGTTTTTATTACAGAGCAGAGTTGTTTTACTGAATTTCATTAACAATATTTGGTTGAGTTTGTGTGATATTCTGGTGATTCCATCAATTTGGTATTAAAGCTAGGTTGGGGAATGGTCAAACCTAAGATGGAGAATAGGATGGAAAACGTTGAAAAAGAAATGAAAACAGTGAAGGAAAGTATGGACACGATGAAAACTGACTTGGGAAGTGTGAGGGAGTACTTAACTGAGATGCGCGAATTAATGCGTATGAGGGAGGAAAGGGATGAAAAACGAAATAAGGAGAAATCATCATCCTCATCGGAGAATCAAAATTCCAGCCCTGACAAGGAGTCGGAAAGAAAATCCAGCAACGATAAGGAGAAGGAGGAGAAGAAGATTCGCAAACTAGAACTACCGATATTTAACGGAGATGACCCTTTCGGATGGACCTTCAGAGCTGATCGGTATTTTGCAATAAATAAGCATGAGGAGGAAGAGAAAGTGCAGGCAGTGGCGGTGTGTATGGAGGGGCGAGCATTGAACTGGTACCAATGGGTTGAGTCTCGGTCGCCAATAAATTCCTGGAGCTCCTTCAAGTCAACGCTAGTGGAGAGATTCAGACCATCGTATAAGGGATCTGCGTATGAGGCACTGGCGGCGCTGAAGCAAACAGGGACGGTGACTGAATTCCGTGAGCAGTTTGAAGAAATGTCAGCTCCCCTGCGTGAGTTAGGAGAAGACCTTTTGATGGGCATTTTCGCAAATGGGCTGAGAGAAGAGTTAAAGGCTGAATTAAGAGTGAGCAAATCCAATAACCTATTCGAGCTAATTGACCAAGCCCACCGGATAGAAGAAAAAAACTGGGTCCTGGACAAATCTAAGCCCAGATTTTTTAAAAATCAAATGGGCAGATCTGACAGCCCAATGGGCAAACCCGAGAGCTACAGTTGGGTCTCACTCTCGCCAGATCTGGGTCGAGAAAATGGGTGGAATTTAGGAGCTAATCCTCTGGAAACAGGACAAAGTAGCCGAGTATGGGATAGGAGAGAAAAGGCGATGGGAGGAGCCATCACTCCACCACGCCACGACGGCTTCCGGCGACTGACAGAGGCAGATCTGTAATATAAGCGCGAAAAGGGGTTGTGTTTCCGGTGTGACAAAAAATTTGGGCCAAATCACAGGTGCAAGAGTCGATCCCTTCAAGTTCTTCTGTTGATGGATGACGATGAAGCCGACAGAGGGGAAAGCACGAGTGAACCAGAACCAGAAAATTTTCAGGAAGGTGATCCACTCTCACTATCTATGAACTCCATCGTGGGCATCACTTCCGATCGCACAATGAAGCTTTGGGGGCAGATCGGCCGTGAAGAGGTGGTGGTTTTAGTGGATAGTGGAGCTTCACATAACTTCATCTCACAAGGGTTGGTACAAAAATTGGGAATACCGATTGATGGAACGAAATCCTTCGGAGTCATGGTGGGTAATGGATTCAAGATCCAAGGTGAGGGGATATGCAGAGATGTTAAGATTGAAATGCAGGGGATGGAAGTGCAGCAGGATTTCTTTCCATTCTAGTTGGGCGGCGCTGATGTGGTCCTTGGGATTACTTGGCTTAGTACTCTAGGTGATGTTTATTCTAATTGGGGTAGGTCGACTATGGCGTTTGATAGAGAAGGAAAACGGGTGATTCTCAAAGGTGACCCTGCACTAGTTAAAACAGTTGTCTCTCTGAAAACCTTACTCGGCATGTTGCCACGGGAAGGGGATGGATTCATGGTTGAATGCAGTTCAATAGAGGTTCAGGAGAATCAAGAGGAGGAACAATTGGAACCTGAGGTGGCAAAGGTGCTGATGGATTTTCCCCACGTTTTTGACCAAACCACTAGACTTCCCCCCCACCGAAAACTTGACCATGCTATTACTCTGCAACCAGTAACCAGCCCACCCAATATCAGACCTTACAAATATCCTTACCTGCAAAAAAATGAGATTGAGAGATTAGTTGGGGAGATGATGGATGCGGGAATTATCCAACCAAGCACCAGCCCCTACGCTAGCCCTGTGTTGTTAGTTAAGAAGAAAGACGGGAGTTGGCGATTCTGTGTTGACTTTAGAGCACTAAATAGCATCACCATACCCAACAAGTTTCCGATTTCGTCCATTGAAGAGCTGTTGGATGAGCTAGTCGGAGCGACGGTCTTTTCCAAGTTAGATTTAAAGTTGGGATATCATCAAATTCGAATTAAAGAAGAGGACATCCCAAAGACTGCCTTCCGGACACATGAGGGCCATTATGAATTCTTGGTGATGCCCTTCGGGCTCACGAACGCACCATCCACTTTTCAGGCTTTTATGAATACGATTTTTTGACCCTTACTGCGGAAGTTTATTCTGGTTTTCTTTGATGACATTCTCATCTACAGCCTGGACATGTCAACACACATTCAACATTTGAGACAAGCCTTCCAGATTTTGCAGGATAATGCGCTGGTGGTAAACCAAAAGAAATGTCTATTTGCTAAATACAGGATGGAATATCTGGGCCACTTCATCTCAGCTGACGGCGTGGAGGCTGACCCGCAAAAGATTGCAGCAATGACATCTTGGCTAGAACCACACAATGTGAAAAATTTGAGGGGGTTTCTAGGGCTCACCGGATATTACCGACGGTTTGTGAAAGGTTACGGATCCATAGCCCAACCACTGACTCAGTTATTAAAAAAGGATTCGTTTAGCTGGGATAAGCAAGCTCAAGAGGCATTCGACCATCTTAAGACTGCCATGACTACTGTGCCCGTTTTAACTGTACCTAATTTTGAGCTACCATTTGAGATTCAGACGGACACTTCAGGGGTTGGAATGGGGGTTGTTTTAGTGCAGAATGCACAGCCGATTGCTTTCATCAGTAAGGCTTTCTCACTGCAGTCTCGGGTAAAATCAGCATATGAACGGGAGCTGATGGCAGTTGTCTTTGCTGTTCGTAAGTGGAGTTATTACCTCATTGGTCGAAAATTTGTCATCAAAACGGACTAGCGTAGCTTGCAATTTCTTACAGATGAACGGGTTAAAACGCCAGATCAACACAAGTGGATTTCGAAGCTCATGGGGTACTCTTTTGAGATCCACTAGCTTCCCGGCAATTCTAACAAGGTAGTTGATGCATTGTCTAGGAGAGAGGACACCAAGGGACTCACGACCATTACCACAGTCCATTTCACAGACTATGAGACTATAGCAGCCGAAGCACAAACTGACCCGAAGCTAAAACTTATTATCCAAGACCTGTTGTTCGACCCTGATGGAACTTCCCTGCACAACATACAATCACAACAACACACACAATACAACGACCAAAAGAGTGCACAATCAAAGTAAACAGTAGCTGGTGCTAAGTAGTATTTGATTGAAACAAGAAACAATGGATAGTTTCCCAGCAGTTCGAGGAGCTGGGGGACCTCCCAAATAGCCTATGGAAATATCTCAATGCCTTCCCTCATTCCCCTAGCTTCTTTATATACTGATTTAATTCTTATTCTGTAACCAATTGCCAGCTGCGTGTCCACCTCATAACAATAATCTCTCTCTGTTCTAACAAACTCACACCCATTACACACCCCGTCATTCTCCTAACCAACTCACACACTCTCCTAACAACTCACACCTCATCACCCTAATTTCTATTCCTCTTCCTGCCCTTGGCTTTGTAGACCTTGTGTACAGGTGGTCTAACAATACCCCCCCTGAAGTGCCACCTTGTCCTCAAGGTGGAATTGAGGAAATTGGCTGCGTATTACATCCTGAGATTCCCAGATAGCATCAAAAGCAGGCAGATCCTGCCAACGGATGAGAACCTCAGTGGATCCATCCAAAAGGGTGCGCACATCCAGCAATTCTGCCGGCTGAACCTGTAGTTCCAGGTCATCCGTGAGAAAGGAGGGCAGAGGTTGTACGGGTACTGAGCTATGAAGGCTGTGCTTTAACTGAGAAACATGGAAAACTGGGTGAATACGGGTTGTTGTGGGAAGTTCCAGCTTGTAGGCCACCTGACCAATTTTCTCCAAGACTTGGAAGGGTCCATA